ACAACTTACAAAAGTTATTGCTGACATTGCGTCTATTACTTATTCGCCGTAGCGGAAACGCCGTTACGTGACTGTAACCTTGATTATTGAATAAAATCTCATTGAATATTATTTCCTGTATTATGCCAACCTTTCCTTCGTATTTGTACAAGAGGTTACTCCTGATTTAGCCTTCATATGAATCGGAAATTTCCGGGTAGAATCGAATGAATTTTGGGAAATCTATTTGCGGTTACAAAAAGTAAGAAAAACATTGGTTTCTGTAGAAAAACATATAAATTGTTTATGTATGGATATAATTATGTGTTGTAAGTTATATATCGTATGTATATTTTTTATTGTGTATAAATAATGATCACAGTTATTTTAAATTTTGATTTATTTGTGGGTTATTTACCTGTTTTTATTTGTCATATTATGCATCCCAATCATTTAATCTGGATTCAGGTCTCTGGTTGACTGGTAGAGAATGCCTAAGGGCAATAAGTCTGCCATTTGTACTACTTTGTGTGCAATAAAGTTTAAATAAATAAAAAATAAATGAATAAAAGTTTAGCGAAAGAAATGTGTGGACTTGTAAACGAACAGATAACTTATGGTGGGTATTTTTGGATTTAATGCAATAGGTTACGTAAGTATAAATCTTGTTCAAAGAGTCTCGGCGAATAATATTTGTCGTCATTGCGTCCAATTCACTCCAAATTAAACTCTTGCGGCCCTAGTGTGGTCACACTCCACTAACATATGGATTAATTAGGTCTTCTGTTGTATTACAGTAATCGCAGAGGGGTTAGGGTTTGGTACCTATCAAGTGATAACATTTATTTATCTAATTCTAAATTCTGACGGCCTCGAATATCTGTGTAACACAATCGTAAAACTTTTTCACTTCCGACTTGTAAAACCAACCTCAATCAACACTGTCCACTGTGTCGCATGTGCTCTTCTTACAATGCTTTGAGATTTGATTTTCTCTGGTTCTGTGGCCTTAGCAAGGCACTCAATTAAAAAGTGTCTTATGTGCTGACTTTGCGAAAGGTTTTGTTTTATTTATTGTCTTCTCATAAATGTTACATGCAAATTTCTTATTACTGTCATTTACGCACTTTTTGTTAATGAAATTTGATTATTGTGTTCACATGAAGTAGGGTACATTCTTTTCATATCATTATGTGTATCAAACGCTTTCACCATATTTTAGAATTATATCGAGTTTTAAGAACCGAATAACAAAAATGCTGAAACAAGAAATTCCCTAGAGAGACTCACACCATTAAACCAACGTTTCGAGATGGTCGCGGTTGCATCGTCACATGCCAAATGTCTCTAGCTAGCGAAATTTTCTCGTGATCTGTATCCCAGATATTTAGACAAATATCTCTAGCTAAAAAAATAATTTCAGTAACAGTCGGTTACATTAGATTAGTGTTAGATATTTTATTCCAGAATAACGTATTTTCGGTTTAACACTTCGTATTTTGAGCTGTATAGCTCGTATCAAACTCAAAACTCAAATTGAAATAAGATACTTTGGTATAATAAAGTACTCATGTAACATGAAAGTAATAAAAATAATACGAACTATATAAAACAAATTTTGCGTATGCAAAATTTTATAACCCTCTTATTTAAGCTTAAAAAGTTATCGACAAATTTAATTTGTAGAATTTAAATCTCTCTTACGAAAAGCTGTCATTTTGCAGATGCGACTTTATTATACCACGCTGTAAATATAATATCCTTATTTCATATGTAAACATATTACGTATGAAACCGTTACATTGATTAAAATCTACTCATTCGTAAGGGTGTTTCCGATTTTCCGATTTCTTACTCATTCCATGAGAAGAATGTATAAGAAACTATACAGAAAAAGTAGACATACGATTAACTTATTGAGTAAGATTTATACGTTTTATTGCTTAACTACAATAATTAGTGAAGAAACACGTCAGTTGATGAGGAGACAGACAAAAATTACAGAACTGTATTAGGGATACTTGCTACTTGTTAGCACGCCTTGAACCGTTTGTTTGTCTTGTATATTTCATTAAGTAGAAATCGACGACGGTAAGGTAAAAGTTTAACATGCATTTGGAAAATATTACAAGAGAGACGATTTAGGGAATTTAAAAACACCATGACTCTAATTATATTTCTTTTAAATAAATATAATTAGACTTCTAATTATTTTAAATTTTCAGGTTTTCCATATTACAAAAAAAAAAAGAGTTATCATTTCTTTTTCGTAAAAACAAAATACTTTAAATCGCTCCCATGCAATATATTACAAATGTACGTTACACATTTCACCTGGCTAGTGTCGAAATATATGCTGTAAAACTAAATTTCTCTCAGTTATCGTATCTTTTTTTATGATACCTAGTGATGTGACAAACAAGTGGTGGTAAGCGACACACCTGTTCATAACAGTTGCAGTGCTACGTAGAGCTTTAAATCACATTGATTTGAGGGGTACTGTCACTGCATCCGTGACCCTGAGACATAAATTTAAAAGTCCCATGTGCCTGTAATTTCACATTACTACTTGGAAGCAGAAATAAATAAGGTGGTAGTACGTCTCTGGACTCTTTCACAAGGAGCTCTATTTCTACTGGGGGAAAAATCACGGCTTGTCAACCATAAAATACATTTTCAATTATTCTTGCATCTAGAATTAGACATTCGTCGAAGCGAATAACGTTTACATCAATTTCTATTTAAATTCGAGTTCGGTACCTACCTTTTGCGATTCGGTTCAATACTGAATTATAAAGGGAAATGAGACTTGAATATTGATTTTTCCAATGAACTTTTTACGTGTATATGAATTCAACGCGAAGAACATTAAATCGTCATGATCCGTAACATGGTTTTGAAAACAATAATATTGTAAAAAGTTGCGTAAAATAATATACTTACTTGAGATGAAACGGATAGTGATTTGGCCGTTTACCGGATACCGCATATCCGGCGAGCACCCAGGCCGGATAGCCGAATATTCGACTACCATATATCTGACCCACAGCCGTAAACATGTGGCGACCGGTTTACAGCGCGCATTGCGGTGATTGATAGATTAGTGATTGATTTCACTTTTACATTGACGATTTGGTTATTGTGGTCACTTGGTTGTGGTACCTTTATAGTTCCTTCAATCACAAGTAGTAAACAGATTGTCAACGACCCTGTAATTGCTGTTTAACCTATAACTATAATCTTTAATCAATAAATCAATTTATTTGGCGTACTGATTATGATTTTTTTTCAGTTTCATATATCCGGTATCCGGCCGGATATTGTTGTACTATCAGGTTTCTGGCCAGATAGTGAAAATAGGCTGAACAGGCCGTATACCGGATAAGTACTGGTTATCCGTTTCATCTATAATACCTACACGAAACTCACAAAATAATTAAAGTTAGCCTTTATATAGTTCCACTGCTGTGCATTGTATATGTGTTTTATATAAATGTGTATAAAATTAATAATGAATGTTCTATGTGTTTTTATGTTATACTCTGTGAAGTGATTGTAAATGTTTTGTTTCTGTTTGTATTTGTGCAGAATAAACGTGTTATCTATCTGTCTATCTATCATTGGACTTCCTCTCACAACGATAGGGCTTGGGCTGTAGTTTCCACGCAAGCGCAATGCGGATTGAGAACTTCACACACATCATTAAATTATTTTGCAGATGTGTGCAGCTTTCCTCCCGATGTTATCCTTCACCGAAAACCTAATGGTAAATTTCATATATTGAACACCGAAAACTCAGAGGTTCAAGACCTGATCCAAAGCTACGACCGTCTGCTCGAAAGGCAGTAACTCAAATCATTATGCTTCTATGACTACAAAATAATACATCTTAAATGATTTTTATACCTTAGAGCAACGATTAACATGTAATTAAAAACGAAGATAAGTTATCCAAAATGTATAACTTAAGATTTCGACCTACCTTACAAAAAAACGGACGTTTGTCTTTGTCTTTGTGGTAATAATAAATCAATGTTTATGACCCCTGTTGAACAAATGATGTAATGGAAGTGATAAGTGACTTCAAAAAGTGGATACTACTGGTTATGACGATATCAAGACAAAGTTAATAGAATATGTATCTATCTAGATGTAGTTAATGCTGAGTCATATTTTTCTTAAAAGTGTAGAAGAGTTTTTTAATGTAAATTAGGAGACAATTGAGTAGACGAGCCACTTGATGGGAGGTGGTCATCATCGCCGATGGACATCTGCAACATCAAATGAGTTGAGAGAGCCCTGTGAACTGAAGTTTCTGAAGAACCGCATGTCATAGCGCAAAGAAAACACTTCAGTCCTAACTCTCTAATTAAGCTCAACTAAAAAACTAAAAAAAGTGTGTGGTAAATGCCGCCACGGGGATTCAAACCGTCGACCTCTGAATTTAGAAACAACCGCTCTCCTAAGTTCACTAGTGCTTCTTAAAAAAACTACATCAAACACAAAAAAGATTGAATTAATTTTTAACATCATTTACCTTTCTTATTTATTTTGTTATTTTTATTAGCAAAAGTATTGCAAAATAGAATGATGTTAATCAGTCTTGATTAACATCAATCTACTAAGCAAGAATGCTTGACAATAAAAGGCTTTTGAGCCAGTCAGCTCATCAAAGAACTCTGTTACAAGCGTATCACAAAGCGAAACAATTAATTATTTCCTCATGATTCTTCGATAGCGTTGAGCTTAATTAGTGAAAACCTTAGAATTTCCTAATTCAAAGAAAATATATGTCAATCCTTATCAAGGGGTTCCTAGGATCGATTATCTTTGGCATCCTTACTTGATTGATAATACGCATAATACCTTTATAATACGCATTTTATCAAGGAATGGACTTCCTCGCCTGTCGAGCTCATACAACCCGAATGTCTTTAGGGGGCCTGAATGATGAGACATCGTCTGGTCGTACTTGTTCCATCTTTATCGTTTCGTCTTCTCCAGTACTAAGTAGTGGTCAAGAGTACTCGTCCTGGGAAATATTTCTAAAATAAAAATAAAATAAATGAATAAATCATATTTTACCTCAGAATAACATTAAAAAAATATACATAGAAAAGAAGTAAAAACAGTAAAAGTAAATTGAGACAAAAGGCATAGGCTCAGCTTATAGAAACGGCGATCGTACCGTGGAGCGCTGTTTTTCAGCCTCTGCCTACTCCCTTATGGTATTGAGCGGGAGTCATTGCTACGAGGGCTTTAATCTTATATCTATTCCTTATAAACTAGGTCGTAACTATATCCAAAATAACAAATGCACATAAGATTATAATTATAGTTATTGGCATAATAATAATTAATTTCTAAAAAAAAGGAAAAGAAAAACAATACAAGTAAACAAGTTCATGGAGTTAGACATTGCGTGTAGTTCTGTATACGTGTACGTGAGTGTTATGTCTTTTATTATTTCAAAAGTTATTTATCTTAGGGATTTGTGTCAAATGTATTTTACTATTTTCAAATTTTTACAGTAAGCATGCTTCAAGTTTTCTGCCTTGTTTTTTTTTATTTCCACCCTACCTATTTCTGCCGCCAAACAGTAATGTAAGCATTACTGAATTCTAGTTTTGAAGGGTAAGAACCTGATAAGAAGTATGTAATGCTGAGGTTCCATATTTTTCATTAGTACTAGATTCCGTTTATTAACCTTTTACCTTTGTACCTTTATTTTTTATTGTAAATGTGCTTAACAATAAATGTCTTATTATTATGATTATTAGTACGCCACTATAGAAAGGTTATTAGCAATACCCGAAAACCTTTCAACCAACTTTTTCAAAGTTCACAGTATTTATATGTTTGCTTACTAATCAATAAAACTGAATTTGATTTTTATGGAAAATGGAAAAAAGTCAATATGAATCCTGTTGTGGCAATCGACTATTTGCGTGCGTTACTACAGGGTCACCATAATCGAGTTTCTAAAATAATCAATCAGGTAAAAAGTGGCGTTTTAGTCGCAAAAATATATTTCGTCGATAGGTACCGCATTGTGTTTTATCGCTAGGATAATCTGATTTTGGCGGCACTAATATCGAGAAACACAGTATCTAACTTAAATTTTATTGCACCAGAAAAAGCAGTGAAGTGAACGGTTCTAATACCAAAATGGGAATATTATAAGTTTAAAAGAGGGGATTTACTAAATGTGAGACTATATAAAATACATGAGACTTGTCAACTTATGTTTCAGGAAAGTTGATATTGAGTACGCGATTCGGTGAGCTGTTTTGCTTGGTTATAAAATAACAACGGTAATCTTAGGCAGCATTTTCGAGCATGCGCGAGAATTCCGTGGAAGATTTAGGTTCGTATCTAGTTTGTACGTTACACAATTCTTTCAATCAAAAATTTGCCTCCATTCCGTTCCGCCGCAATATACATTGAGCCTAAGACGATGTTAAAGACAATATTTTGGCGGTTTCAACAGTATATAAAACATATATGTGGGGTATGGCGATATAAACAACGCGAATTTAATGAGTTTTTTTTATTTCAACAACGTTTAAACAGTATCGTAAACGTAAATCATAGATGAACCATAGACAAAAAACTTGACTGCTAACTCATAGTTAAACAGTTTTTTGAATTTATAAATCTAACACACAGCACTGTTTCCGCATATATGTAGGTAGTAGAGTAATAGTACCATCTTATATCGTATCGATGGCATGCTTGACACTGTCGTGGTGAAAGTATTTGCCAATCGGCGTAAGGTACTCATCAATTGTAGCCCAGAGTGAGCCAGACGTACAGGAAAGGTGTGGTACGTCGTGCGGAGGGATTCCTTTCTTACAAACTAAATTTACTTATCTTCATGCATAAATAGGTACCTTTGACATTTTGCATGAAAATTACTACATTAGAATTCACACAGGCCATGAATACTCTCGAGATACTGTTCTTACCAACATTATAACTGTATTACGGTATTACTAACTCACCGATTTCCTTATTTATTCATTGAATAGTTAAAGTAAGACAATGCGTCTCCTAAGATCAGATTTCAAGGCTTTACGCTATTGTTTCAACACTGAAAGGTATTTAGAACAATAGTGGAAATTATAAATTATTAGCAATATTGATTACAAATTGGCAAGTTTTCTACTTATAGCCATTTACATAGAGGTAAGTATGTTTTAAGAGATAAGTAACTAGTAATATTATAAATAAGTATAACTAGTTGTAGTTTACGAAACGACTTTTGACAGCGTTGAGCAATGTTCCATTCCCTGCATCGTTGTAATATAGACAAAAAGTATGTGGATATCCTTCGGGAGCTATACAAAAACGCAACTCTCCAGGTCCGAATGCACAGACTTACCGATTTCGTCCCAATCCGACGAGGTGTTCGTTAAGGCGATACTATTTTGTTAAACAATATTAAAAAATAGATGTTTAGAGTACTATCTCACCCAAGCTATTCACTACTGTGCTCGAGGATATTATGAAAACACTCGACTGGGGCGAGATAGAAGTAAACATTGATGGCCGCAATTTAACACATCTGCACTTCGCTGACGACTTGGTCCTCTAAGCTTAAAGTATCGAACACTTGCAAAGCATGCTAGCATGCAAGATCTGCACCAAGCATCGATGAGGGTGAGCCTAAGGATGAACATGACCAAAACCAAGGTTATGACCAACTTTGCGGGTCCTAAATATAATATACTATAAGCAACTGCCCTATAGAGGTAGTGAGCGACTACATATATCTCAGTCATTATCTATCCTGCGACCCCGCTTCTCAGCTTAAAGGTACCACGAGACGAATTCAATTAGGATGGGCTTCAATAGGTTGGAAGATGTGTTCAAGTCTAGAATCCCTCAATGCCTGAAGACCAAGGTGTTCAACCAATGTGTCCTACCTATAGGTACTTATTTATGCTTCCGAGACATGGCCGCTCACGAAAGAACACGTGCACAAGATTCAAGTAACACAAAGGGCAATGGAGCGCGCCATGCTCGAAATTTCTCTGTTGGACCACGTACCCAATGTAGACATTCAACGTCGCACAAAGGTAGTAGACGCGGGTACGAGGATAGCCAAGCTTAAGTGGAAGTGGGCGTGGCACTTGGCTAGAAGGGACGATGGAAGATGGACGAAAGCCGTTACTGAATGGTGGCCAAGAGACGCAAAAAGGCCTAGAGGCAGACTACCAGCCATATGGATTGATGACTTTAAGGCCATAGTTGGAAACCACTGGACACGACTCTCAAGGGACCGGAAAGAATGGCGCAATAGAGACGAGGCCTATACTCAGCAGTGGGAGCAAAAAGGCTGAAATGAATAATTTTGATTTTTTAAACTTGTTTACACATGTAGGAAATGAAACTATTTTTCCAACAAACAACAAACAACAAACTACTCCAGTCTACTAGTGACTAGTCCAGTCGTCGGTTTGTTTGAAAAAACAAATATACGCGATTTAAATCCGGAAAAATAGTTTCATTTCCTATGTGTAACAATCGCGAAAACCTAAGATCTCGATATTGTTTACATATGAGTAGATAAATAACTAAGTTATACTCAAATGTCCAAAAAACCATTGTATCTTCTTACTTCTCCGGAATATCCTTCTTTACTTAGGAATCGCGTATTTAAGGCGAAAACGCGACCGGTAGCAACAATATTTGCCCAACGCTTTGGAACTTTTGGATTTCCACGGCTCATGGATAGGGCTGAGGCCGGATTTAATGAATGTTTGACATTTATGCGATTTTATGGTTTTTATACATACAAGAGTCGAGTTTATTTCAGATGAGTGACGCAGATCTGCGTCTCCGCTACCGGGCGCGTGATTACGCGTCCCGCGCACCGTCGCGGGGCGCGGTGCAGTGTGTTGACCGCCTTAGTGGGCAATTTTCAGATTACCTTTGTCTACCCAATTTCGGTGACAATTTCTATTATTTAAATACTGGAGTATTTTATTGAAATATTGAATAATGTTTCTGGTTACTACACTCGAATATGAAATAATATTTTATGCTAATATTTTACAATATTGGAATAAAAAAATTGCCACCGAAATTAGGTAGAGAAATCTGACCTGAAAATTACCCAAGTATATCATTAAAGTCACTTTCATCTACATATAATGTTATTGATTACAATATTTTATATATTTCCTAAATAAATACGATATAATGGTTAGATAACGCTGTATAGAAAAAAATGGTTACCAAAAGCGATCCGATCCGCTGACGGTTTAAGTTTCACGGTAGATCTTTGTCAACAACTTCCACCTAAATTTAGAGTTTCCTGGAATTACAGGGTTCGTTAATAATGGAAAATTTATGTTAATTCACCTCAAAGGTACAAGGCAAAAACTAACCTCGTCTTACATTTTTGGGTCAAATTATATTTAATCTATCGGGGGCCAGACGACCACTTGTATCAATCACTCGGGCACTATTTATTATGGGAACGATAAACACGCATTATGCCGTACCATATGATGTATAGGTGTAACGTAATACAGTCATTATGAGTTAGTATAGTGACACATACGAGGTCATCAGTGATTTGCGGAGCATAATCTATATACACAAAAACGTATTTATGGGATAGACGTTGATCGATTGTTTTCGATTTTGTAAGTTGTGAAAGAGATTAGCGTTTGATCGCACAAGAACTCCTTGAATTTGGTGAGTTTATTTTTTAGACAAATAGGTTTGGTTAAGAAAAGACGAGCTTTTGTTTCATTTTTTTAAACAGTTGACAACGATATTCTAATCTTGTAAGATGATATGTCAAATGTATGTGGTATGTAGGATGGTATTTTATATTGAACGTAGTTGTGAAACTCGATTTAACATAATTATGAATGTACGTATAACGGCCATCCTAAAGAAGGGCCAGGTCAAGAGTACCCTTAACCGACGAGCGTGTATGAAAGCATTGATGCGTGTTGATGAGGTAAAAGATGTGTGTCAGGACCGTAGCAAGTGGAAGACTGTTGTCTCTGCCTGCCCCGATGGGAAAAAGGCGTGAAGTATATGTATATATGTATGTATGTATGTTAACGTTAGGATAAGAGTGAATGATAAAATTGAAGGAGAGGAATGAGTGAGTGAGAAAAGAAAGAGCAGCGGCGGGTGAAGAGCAGGGAGACAGGAAGAATTTTGGTTTTTATGTACACGAGCCGAATTTTATTGTTAAGAAGAAATATCTTCATTTCACATATATGTAGGTATATTATTGTGTGCTGCGATTTTAATAATTTTCTTTACAAAAGGAAAAAACCGATGCCTATAAGCTTTTTTAAAATGTTTAGTAAATTCTAACAAAAAACGAGAATGTTTATATGAAGTTCCGAAATTCATATTTATTACGGCAGTAAATAAAATCACTGCCTGTGATTATTTAACGTCAATATATTTCTACAGGGAATTTGGATAAAAGAACTGGAAAACCAAAAATTCTTTCTTTTGACATATGACCATCCATCGGGCCTTACCACAGATATAGGATTCCTATATGTATTGGCCTTACCTACTATTAATGATCCCGCTGTAATCGAACCCTGTGGCATATCATGTATACATGGTATGATTGTCATAGCACGGAGTTTTAGTGGGACACTAGTATGGTTCGTCACATGCGTAGTAGGTACATTAGCACGTCCCAAAGAAAAGGTTGGCTCCGAAGCTGCGCTGGCGGAACTATTAAAAGCCAAAAGCTACAAAATATTAACAGACGACAGAAGTTAACTAACCAGTATAGTCGTACAAAGGAAGAAAATAACGCTGCAAAATGTTGGGCAACCTGGTGATAGGACAAAATTTCGTTAATTTAATATAGCCCTAGCTTCGTATTTAAGCCTTTAATGTATGTTCTCCCTTTGTATCAATGTTGATAACATTTTAGTTACAGAATTGGATAATCTTTTTTTATTTATTTACAATGGCCCAATTTGTATTTTACAAGGGTTCTACTCCCGTTGTGTGGGAGTATAAACACAGGAACACAATTTGTCTGCTTATTTTCATCAAGGATGTGTCTTTTTTAGATTTACATTTTTTATAGAACACGGATTTATGCATATAAATATACATACATTGAGTTGGTAGTAAATAATGAAGGTTTTTTAAATCTTTACCAAATTACGTCATAACAGTCTTTTCGGTTGTGGGTAATTTTCAGGTTAGCTATTTCGACCTAATTTCAGTGGCAAGTTTTATTATTTAAATATTCTAGAATATTCTCATTATTATTTAATATTTGAGTGTACCTGAAATATTACTTTATATTTCACGTTAATATACTTAAATAGTAAAAGTTGCCACCGAAATAATGCAGAGAAAACTAACCTGAAAATTACCCGTATATCATATATACAATGGATAAAATCATTTATAAAATACGCAATGCTAATAATCATCTCAGAAAATATAAAATTTGTGGGTAAATAAATAAAAAAAAATAAAAAACCCCAGTGTTTTAGTACACGTGAAGAGTTAAATAGTTAGATAGTAGGTACGCATATCCATGGTTTAAGAATAGGTTAACTTGAATTACTTTCATTCAAAATATTCAATACATTTTTAAGTATGACAAAACTTCGATTCAGAAATCGGTTTACGCTTATTACACCATGTAACACGATCCATGTTTCTGGGTTTGATATATTCCGGGATGATATTGATATAACATTTTCAAATTTGTTTTAACACAAAAAAAATATTTTCCTGCAAAACTTTGCTGTTGTGATCAGGACAATGAAAAGTTTGCGTACATGAACGGTAAAAATTTTCGGGTTTCTTTTATTTAAACACAAAAAGGGAACATTACATTTCAACTCAACAGTATATTTTAACTAAAATTCTACAAATTGATGCAAAGAACCAAGAAATGCGTAAATTGCAGCTACGTAAATAGTACCGTGACAGCCACAAAACAGTAGCTTCAGGGCTATAATTACTCTTTTCTATATACTTGCTGCTTAATTAAACAAAAGCAATACTGTCAAAGCAGAAACAGAACCTTTTTGAAAATTTGTTAAATAGCATTATCGATGCATTTCGAAATCATTTAGTTTTAAAATCTTGTTAAAATAATCTGCTAGTAATTACTTAATAATTAATAATTTCGAATTTCATCGATAAAGGTTTTTTTGTTGCCTTTTCAGTCTCATCTTTTATTAACCAGACTATATTTGCTTGTTGGCGTGGCAATCTCTTGAAGGTGTTAGATTTGAATATTCAATTAAAACCGCCCTGAAATTTACAAGAGAAGAGAGCGAGACATCTTTCGAGTAATCTTGTTATAGGTTTTGCAAGTAACGTAATACCAGTTCAAATAGACCTTTAAAATTAGCCACGAGTTTGCTTTAGTTGGTTATGTACTCGATGCTCTCAACACACTATGACGATAATTTTATTAAGGCATGTATTTAAATGATTATTTTAAATTTGTAAACCCAGTAGGCAAAAAATCTAAACGGTCATCTTTTTTAATGATTGATTCTCTTTCCCTGAGACATAAAATAAATTAAATCTTTCTTACTAAATGAAAAAAAAAATGGATATTTTAATCTGTTTTGAGCTACGCAAAAAATGTTTGATTTGTATAAATTAACTTTGATAGCTATATGTTGGGCCTTAAATCTAAGACAAATGAGATTCAAAAATAAAATTTATATACTTATTTTTAAAACGAAGTAAATGATGATTATATTTGTACACTAATATTATATTAATTACAATATAATTTGACCTTTTTTTTTTATAATTTGACCTGAAAACATGTTCGGAAACGCACGCAAATTAGATTTGGCACTCGCCGGCCGCTGCTGCGTCACGTTCACTTCCTCGTGCTGCTTTTTCATGTACTAACCTTTTTTTTTACTCGGGGAAATCCATCATGATGCTATTCTTACCTTCATAGCCTACTGAGAGGCGCGCGCGGGTGCACGCGGCTCCTTCTCAAGCCACATGTAGACGACGAACGTTTATTCCCATGATCGTCGTCATGGCTCCCTATATATATATATATATATATGTGGCGACGGAAGTCACGCCGCTTTTTGTTTGGGACAGATTGGAACATGTAGTTGCTGTGAATATTCTTGTCTATAGATTGAAGTCTTTGAGTAAGTATTATTTTTACTGGCAAATATTAATTTAGTATGCTTAAACATAATAATAGTGTTACCTTGAATGTAGTTCATTTATAATTTATCTGTAGTTCAATTAATATCGATGGATAATATATACATATGTATATCAAACAACAAATATCGTTTATTTCAAAAAGTGCACATTTATAATAGATTAATTATTTCTTTGAGGATCAAATAATATTATCCCATTTATTAAAGTTCCTTTACCTATACATTTAATTACGCATACAAATAACGGATTTTAAGAAGTTCAAGACAAGGCACTGGCATAATTAGATTCATTTCCAATCTAAGGCAAAACATTCTAGTGCTGTCGCAAAAAATATTTTTTGGCATAGTTTCATGGAATGGGTGCAAACACGGCTTAATTGAAATTAATCACAGGCCTGGTCTAAGCATTTCTGTTAATCCATTTACCTTAATTTGTTGATATCAGGTCCTAATTAGGTTAACAGGGAGTTAAATAAAAAATATGGTGTCTACCCTTAGTTCACGGTGAGGTTTGCTTAATGTTGAAGGGTATTATCCCAAATTGCTAAAAATAATAAAGACATTTATTTGGTAATAAATATTTACGCCTTCTATAAATTATGATGTTAAGCTTTTTGATGATTGTTTTTGCTGATTTAATCGGTTCTAGTTGCAAAAAACTAGATTTAGTCGGTCCGCCGTTCAAAAGTTATAAGGGTGTTTTACTGTCCTTGCACAAGCTTATTCCAGCGCGGCACTATTTCTCAATATCGAGAACCACAACACCTAGCTTAGATTTAATTACATTAAAAAAGGTCGGGATTTAGTTGGTTATAGTCGTAAAAAAACTAGATTTAGTCGTTACGCCGTTTTGAAGTCATTAAGGTGTTTTACTGTCCATCCTGACATAAGCTTATGCCGGCAGCACCATTTTTTAATCTCGAGAACCAATGCCAATGGATTTCAGTTCATTTCATAATTTCAAAAAATTGTAATGTTTTATTGTTGTAATTTGGTTTTATTTTATAGCCAAGGCTTCCAGTTTTTCATTATCGTGGTTTTCCCTACTTTAATCTGTTAGATTCCTAAATGGTTTTGACATTGTGTTATCGGAGCAAGTATCTAAGCCAAGTCATTCTCCTTCCACGTTGAAATATGGGTCTAATCCATCATGCTGGTTTTGAAAATCTGTGCTAATTAATAAGTACAACCCCTATTTCAATGATTTAATAATCAGGCAATAGATTGTTTTTACGCTTCGAAAGTAAGCTTATTTAGTACATTATTTCCTTTCCCTATAAACATACAGCATGTAAG